TGAGGACTAACACAGCTTCAATCATCTAACCCTGCTCTGGGTGCTGCTCCTGCCTCAGAAGGAGCATGCAGGAGGGCTCAATGCGTCTTGCCCTCTGGCTATCCTCAGAAAGCACATTACAACCTCTGCTTGGTTTCCTGGGGTGCAACTGTCCTTAGTGGCTCTTGGATGTCTCCTTGTTGGCCTGGGGGATACCATCCCTGCCTCTAAAACCGCAGCTGGCAGCACTGGCCCATCTTATGTATCACAAGATGAGAGCTGTTGCACTGAAAATAGCACCCATCCTTCTGGCCAGGCCTGGCAAAGAGGAGTGAGGTGCTAAAACCATGAGCAAAATGAAGAGGAAAACAGGTAGGGGAGCAGTGAGCTCCCAGAATGTGTGTGAGCTCCTCAGGTGCTATCTTCATTGCCCCCTAGCAGCTTCCAGCCAGCAGGAGAAATGTAACTCCCAGGAAAGGAGAGCTGCCTCGGGAATACGCATCGCTGTGAGCCCAGAAGGATGATTTTCTTTTTTAAGCAAAGGCAGCTAATAAGGGGCTGGAGCGTGGGGACATTAAACGGGAGCTGGGGCTCCGCACTGACGTCAGTGGAGCGCGTCCCGCGCCGGGGTGCCCCGCGCACGGCCCACACCCGCGGCTTGCGCAAGGCAGCTGCTTCTTACCCGGGGCTGATTGCTTGCAGCGAAGATAAATATCCCTGCTGAAAGCCCTGGGCCCGGCTCCCAGCTGCAGTTTGTGTTATGCAGTCAATGAAATTAGATCAGAGCTGGAGCTCAGCGGCGTGCACGCGTGTGTGAGCGTGCGGGTGCGCTGTGCCAGCCCTGCCGTCCTTGATGCAGGAAGGACTGAGCTGCTGCCCACCTGGCCACGGCCACAGAAAAGGAGCCACGGATGTCGTCGGTGGCTCTTCCATTGCTCCGATGCATATGCCTGAGATGGGCCCTCCTGCCAGAACTGATTGTTGGTGACGTGCAATGCAGTGTCCCCTTCGAGAGGGTTGTTGGGACAGTGTGTCTTGTAGGGCTATGCTCATGCATATGTCTGCAAGGGCTGCCCCATGGAGACCTTGTGTCCCCTCCAGAGAGCTGGCTGGAGACTTGATGCTCCCAAAGCCTGGCAATGCAGTGGAGATGCCAAAGGATGTCAAGCCCTGGCAAGGCAGGGGAGATGCTGAAGGACCTTGTGTCCAAGGGCAACTGCCCTCTTAGGAAACACAAGAGGTCTCTGGTGAAGGTGGCATGAAAACTATGGCTAGTTAGTAGGGAGTTCTGGCTGCCTTAAAGCCCTGCAGTGGAGGACTCAGGAAGAGGATGAGGAGGTACCACCTCAAGGCATGGGTTAATCTCCAGTGTCATTAGGAATCAGGTGGCCTCCCAAGTCACATGTGTATCAGTGAAGGGACTTCCCTTGTGTAAGTTTTTTTTTTTTTAATGGATTTTTCCTCGCTTCCCTCCTGTGAACAGTAACATTAAATTTCCCTCCACAAACAGTAACAACCAGGCGTACTTCACAACGCGGCACAACGCCGTGTTTGACCCCAAGTCCTGCCCCAAGCCATGTGCGTAGGGGAGGAGCAGCAGCGGGGCTCCTGAGGAAAGGCTTTGGATTTTGTGCTTTCTGCTTCTGGAATCACAGGGAGGTTGGCTGTTAGGGAGGCAGTTGCCATCAAGTCATGGGAGAGAGCTGCCTGGCCTCCCCAGGAAGGAGGAAAAAAGAGAAAGAGAAAGAAGTGAGAGTGAGAAAGAGAGAAAGAAAGATAGAACAAAAGAGAAAAATGTAGAAGGAAGAAAATTCACGGAATACATTTATTTACTTATTACTCCATCTCTACTGACTCATATGTGCACTTGCCCATTTCTGCAGATTTGTTGGAACTATCATCATGATTGTCAAAAATAATAAATATCACACCAAAGCACACAATTTTCCCATCTTGTGGCACCAAGCCCCATTTGAGCAGGCACTGTCCAAGCACATTTTAAGGAGGCCAGTTCCTCAAAGAGCTTGGATTCCCCATGCAGCACCCAAAGCAGGGCAGGACTGCAGACAGGTCAGTGTGGACTACAGAAAGGAGAAAGGATATTAGTCAGTGTCCAGGACATTGGTCCCAATCCCCAGAGGAGCACAAATCTTGAGAAAATATTCCTGAATCAAAGCAAAAACATCTTAAGAAAGAGCTTTACAGGGATCTCCTCAAAAGCCTGGCAGAAAAGTATGGGAAAAAGTGCTTTCACTGAGCACTAAGACAGCGAAGTGGTGGTAGTGGCTGGAATTCGGGGTGGACTGCCCTGACCCAAACGAGAGCTGATGGGAAGACTTTGCACGGGCTCACAGCCAGGATATGCATGGCCTGCATCCTCCTTCCCAGGTTCGGTCACCATCTCTGTGGTGCCCATGTCAGGAGATCGGGGGAAACTCGGAGAGATTATCTCAGAAGGATCTGAGGAAAACCTTGCAACAGAGAGTTCCTCCACCTCCAGGGTTGTAATCGCAGTCCTGCACTGCACCACTCTGTACTGGTTAGGCAGGTTTTTTTTTTTTCCCTCAAATCCTTTTATATAGCTCATCCTTCCACATGAAAATTTGGGCCTTCTTATGCTCACAGCTAAAAGCGGCAGCTATATGTCATTATTTTGTTTTCATATGAATTATTTGACTTAGTCCTTCAGCTGTGAGGAGGAAAGGAAGAGGATATGAATGCCTCATCACAAATCTGCTCATACGCTTTGGGCTGCGAAGCTCACAGAATAGCTAAAAATGTAAGACGCAATAAATATGAAATTAAATGTAATGATGTTAGTGTAACAAGGATGAGCACTGGAAAACATGGGGTTTTCCAAAGGCAGAGGCTAAGATGCTGAGCTAGCACTGATGAGCTTGGATACGATGCTGTGGAAGCCTCCTGAGGGACATCTCCCAGCAGGGAGAGGCGCTAGCTGGTGGTGTCGTTTCCCAAGAAGTCTGATTCCTGGATTGAAAACATTTAAAAATAGATTATTAAACTGAAATAATAAAAAAGAGAGTAGCCAATTGACATGGTCTTGGATCAATTAGGAGACTAAAGATGGAAAGCACTAGTGCATCTTTTTGTTCTTGAAATTTTAGATGCTGCGCACAGCAGCTCAAAGCTGAACTCTGCAGTAGGGCTACCATGGGTTTTGCCCAAAAACCTCGGGCAGAAACACAGCCACATGTGCTGCACAGCTGCACAGCACATGGCCGGGCCGGCCGCACACGTGCTGGGCACCATCGTGCCCGGCGCAGGTTGGGGACTGGTCCCTCAGCTGCCACCCAGCCACGCTGCCAGGCAGATCAGTGCTGCCCATGGGAAGGGAATGGGCTGGGGAGAACCCACAGCTTTCTGTGGATCGTTACACAGGTGAGCGAGGAGGAGCTGCAGCCTCCTTGTCCTCAAGGCTCCTGCGGGAGCAATTCTCCTCTGGACCACACCGTGTAGATGCTCCCTGCTGACTTGCCACTGCTACCTGGTGATGCATGGTCAAAAACCAGATCCTACTGAGCGTGACACATTCCTGGTGATTGCTCGTGTTTTCCCTAGAGGCTTATGATATTCAGCAAGGGGATATAGGTGGCTGGTGATGGGGGCCTGGGCTTGGACCTCCGCGTCCTCATGGGCCCCTCCTGTGAGCAGGATCAAGGTCTGCTGTCCTTAGTGTGATTGAGACCCATCTGTGGGAAATGGGATGCTGAAGGAGGGAGCAGGAGGCTGCTGACAGGGCATGTGCACAAGAGCATGCCAGGCACTCAGACCTGCTGCTGGCACCAGCAGTCTCTCATTTTTCCCACCCCTGCTCACTACCACCATCCTAGTATCTCTGTCAAAGTATTTTTTTTTCCCTCCTGTTGATGGTTCTGCCCAAACTGCATAGTTGGTCATAAGATTTACATCTATTTCCTTTTCTCTCCCTCTCGATCCTTGTTCCCTCAAACCTTCTCCCTGCCCTCCTCTCTCTTACCTAAACAGGTAAAGAGAGCAGCTTGGGAGAGGCTGACTTGCAGTCGAGCTCCGACCCCTCGGGAATGGACAACAGCTACCTCAGCGTGAAGGAGGCCGGGGTGAAAGTCCCCCAGGACAGGGCCAGCACTGACCTCCCCAGCCCCATGGACAAGGCCGACTCGGAGAGCAACAAGGGGAAAAAGCGGAGGAACCGCACCACCTTCACCAGCTACCAGCTGGAGGAACTGGAGAAGGTCTTCCAGAAGACGCACTACCCTGATGTCTATGCCAGGGAACAGCTAGCCATGAGGACAGACCTCACCGAGGCTCGAGTGCAGGTAAGGGGATGCACGGGTGGGCCATCCTGCAAACAACCCGGGGCTTTCCAGATCTCTGGGAGCAAACTCTGGACCCTTGCAACATCTTTGTCTGAAACGAGTGCCAGCTCCTTTATGTGAGGCAGGTGTCCCCAGATTTCAAGGTTCATAGAGATATCTCTTATCTTTAAGCTAACTGGACACTGTAGGAGATAAGACTAACTCTCACCCTAAACTAAGCTATTGCAAAAGGACTTTTCAGAAGAACTGGCAGGGGACCCTTGTTCATTAGATGAGATAAATAGATAGATAGAGAGGTTTTGCTGCCTAATTGGATAAAGAGGCACTGAGAAAGTGCAAATAGGTATGGCCAGCACCCTGGAAGACACAGGAAAGCACACATCGTGTGCCACGATGCTGCAGTCTCACTACCAAAAAACACACACTAGAAAAGTGAGCCCTGGGCTTTGGCAGAGCCAAACTCCACAGGAAATAATTACTGACTCTCTGACTTGTGCTCTTTCCTCTGTATCAATATTAAAGGCCTAACAGAGCTCAGAAGTATTAAAAAAAGAAAGAAAGAAAAAAAAAAGTATTACTTCCTGAAGTGGACCCTCCATATCTCATGCTTTGACAGTCGAAACTTATGATCTGATTTTCCAGTTAGCTAATCCTCTGACCTCTATATTCTGGCATTTCTCAGATCATCACCCCTGGGACTTGTGCTAGCATCAAGGATAGCTGGAGCGTGGCGGCGTCTGACTGCATCTCCCAGCCTAGGAAGACACCCAGGTTGCAGGCAACACAGCTTTTCCTCTGCCCTAAGCCCTGCAAGCCATTTTTTGCAAACAGTTACAACAATCAGGCCAGCCCTTTCTAACCTGTATATTTACTCGCATTTTTGGCTGGCTATGGGATTTTTCTTGATTGCTGGCCTGAAGTGGTTTTCAGGGCTGCTGTGCTCTTCCTCACAGCTGTTTCTCTTCATGCCGGACATGGCTGCATTTCAGCAGAAATCCCCACTGGTCCAGTGCCTAGCGTGCTGAGCACTGCGGGATGGGCATCTCTGCAAATGTCAGCTAGTTACTTCTGCCGCTCGATGCAGCCCTTGATTTCTCAGGGACACACCACAAGTGTTAAGGGGGTCTCCTGGGATGCCAGAGGCAGCATTGAGTTACCAGCTTCACAATGCATGAAATTCCTGTTGCTCAGGAATGAGAGCGAGGTGCTGGAGGGCAGCGAGCCCTTCCTGCTCGCCCCTGGGCTGGGCTATGCAGCTAGCATGTCTCAGCCAGAGCGCGGGTCTGTCTAGCAGAGCTGGGTCGGGGAGGCAGATGTGATGCAGATTTTTTGCATATGGCCTGTCTTCTCTCTTTTTTTTTTTTTTCATATTACCACTGAATAACACTGTGGGGGTAAATGATTGCTCACGTTCAGTGTGAGGGCTTCAGGAAGCATTTGCTGTTGCTCAGACATTTGATTACTGTTGAATCACTTACACAGATTGGCAGCGCTGCAGGCAGCACGGTAGGAGCTCTGCACTGGAGCTGCTCTGCCTGACCCAGCCTGCTGGCAGGTTAAACGGCTGCTCTGCCAAGGCTGTCCCTGGAGCTGAGCAAAAGGAGCTGGGAATTCAAGCCGAAGGGCCTTGGCGCCACTCCTGTCACCAGGGATGTGGAGCACCGCGGGTGACTTGCAGGTCCACAGCCTGGGGTGCCCAATGCAGAGCACCAGCAATGGCTCAGAGCAGCCTCCCTGCTCTCACTTGTCCCAGGAGGGCAGAAAACGTCTCGCACCTCTTGCTTCTTAACATGGTGATGGCAGTGGCTGTATAACAGAATAGCTGAACTACTAAGTAGACCATTTGTTCAAGTACTTACCCAAAAGTAATAGATCTGATCATGCTGCTGTGGGGATTTACACTTATTTCCCAACCAGGAAAGATGCCCATGCACCAGGCGATGGGGTAGACACCTGGCCACCAGCCCCTGGAGAAGGTCTGTCGCACAAACACAGACTTCCTAGTAACTAGTGGGCTCAAGTCTACTGTATGTCCATGTTCCCACAGTTTGCATTAAATTGCTATTAAGTAAAACATATAGGCAACTTTAGGACCAGAACCGACAGCTGCCATGCTCTGTACCCACTGTCGGTGCCCGTTCAGCAAGTCCAGGGAGCGCCTGTCCCATGCAGGGTGGCAAGAGCTGAGGATTGCATGGGGCTATGCTCTCCATGTGGAAGGATTTCAAGGCCAGAGCCTTAGCAATTTGTCCCACTCAGCTCTAGGTTTTATTACAGCCAGTGTACGCTTTGCTCTGGCTTCCCATCTCCTTGGCCAGCTTTACTCCATGGTGGGGGCCTCCCAAGGCCAGAAAACTCATGGAAAGGTGGAGCACAGCCTGGAGAGCACCAGGTCATAACCAAAGAGCAGGCAGGGAGACTTGGCACAGAGAAAGCTGCTAAGACGACTGTTGGCTAAGGAAAGACCTACTGCAAAGACCAAGGTCCGAACCATGGTTAAACCAGGGTCACAGCAGAAAGCACATACACCATGAGTCCCTTCACTTCTTCCCTTCTACAAGCCATACCGTAGCTATGTACTCAGACAGACTACACTAACCCATCAAGGGTTGTGGCTAGAGCCTGGGTGTTTGGGGGCTCCCACGGCAACTCCATGGGCTTTGAGGGGAGCTCTAGGAGCACCAAAGAACGTGCAGACCTCATGGTGTCATGAATAAGAAATACATCATATAACGGGTGAACTTAGGGTGATCTTATCAAAGCAGAGCAGTGTGAGAGAGATGTAATGAGCAAGTTTGAGATATGGTGTTCCCTCCTACAGCCAAGCCAACTTCGGGCTGAATCAGCCCCTCTTCGCCCAAGTTTGTCACCCTGAAGAGCGCAGCCAGCCCCCGCAACGTAGGCAGCATCCAAGAGGGAAGCAGACACACACACAGCGCAGCTCTGGGGCTTTCCTTCCCTTCCCAAGCTCACACTGCACTAGTGAACCAGCTGCCGCAGAGCCCAGTGCCTGTAGAAGGTTCACTCCAGCCCACCCCCTGCAACCTGGCCCCTTGCTGCAAAGTACCTGCTAAGCTGTGGCCTGTCCCAGCTGTCAGAAGCACAAGCTGTCAGTAAGTCCTGCACAGAGGCAGAGCAGGTCCTTTGGCGGGTTCCTTTCTCCTCTTCGTCATGTTGGGCTGCGGAGACCCTCCACAGGCCTGCAAAGGGCTCCTGCAGGGCTGGAGCAACTACCTGAGTCTCTGCTGAGCTGCGGAGGGAGGCAGCAGCTTTCCAGGAGTGGGGAGAGCCAGCAGGGAAGAAGATGGGAGGCACAAGGTAGCTCTGGGTAGGCTTCCCTCCACCTCCAGCCTCTCTCCTCACTGCTGAGGAGCAGTGGCAGCAGCTCTGCTCACTCTAAGAAACATCATTGCGACACACATGTCTTGTCATCCCCAAGCTGGCCAGGGGGCACTGCAGAACCCCCGCCCGGGGCACATCCCAGGGTGACAACTATCCTCTGGTCCCCACAGGTCGCCCCCTCATCTCCCACCACCCCACAGCATCAGGGTGCACTCCATGATGGGTACAGATGCCACCCACCAATGGCAGTGCAGGACACGTATGCTGCATTCACATGCACAGCCTCCACATCCCCAAGCTCGTCGCATCCTGTCCTCGTGCTGGCCGCAGCTCTGTCTCCCCCCAGGACGGGCAGAGAGGGGCAGGGGTGGAAGGAGGCTTCGCACTCAGGCAATATCCTCCAGCCAGGCCCCTCTAGTGCCAGCTGTACCATCCCTGGGGCTGTTAATGAAAATCTTCTCAGCAGTGACCTCGTGATACGGGGGCTTGAAAGTGAGAGGGAAATGTCAGACTCTGGTGTAGCAAAATCACCTCGTTGGAAAAAAAAAAGAGGAAAAAAAAAAAAAAGGCAAGAAGTAATATATCTTGATCTCTTTTCCCCCATAAAACCCTGGGAGGCTGGTGGAAGGAGCGGAAAGACTGAGCTAAGCCTGCAGGAAATTAAACATGAAATGAAAACAAGCTCAAGTTATTCAATTCTCTCATCCCAGGCTCCAATTTCCCATTCCAAGCCACTGATAAAATGGTGTCCAGTTTCAGCGCTCGAGGATGAATTCTGGCTCTGTTCTTGCAGGCTGGAGAGCGAAGGGCCTGTGGCCATCTCCGGGAGAAGGGGAGACAGCCTGGCCTTCAGCAGAACGGTGGGGCATGGGGCGGCCCGGGCAGCAGGACGGAGACCCACAGCCAGCGGCCACCCTCAGAGCTGGACGCTGGGTGCCTCACTGTCCGACCTCTTCCAGCCCAGCTTTGGGAACTATGTATACATATATATATATATATATATATATATACATATATATGTGTGTGTTTCTTTTTTTTTTTCTGACTTGGAGGAAGGACAAAAGCAATGGTACAGTTCCTGTGCACCCAGCAAAGGCAGTGTCCAGGGGGAGACCCACGAGCGCAGAGGGATGCGGGAGGCAGATAAAGCTGGCGGCACCAGCAGGGATGGGGTGCTGGAGGCTCTCCCTTTCTTTCCTGTGGCCTCTCCAATCACCTCCAGCACGTCAGATGTGCAAGCACATGGGCTTGGGTACTGGCATATGGCTGCATGTTTACGGAGACATGAAACATTTTCAGAGCTGTAGATTTTTATAGGACTGATTTGGTACATCAGGTCCTATCAAAGCCATGTCTTCAGGAGTCAGATACATGACATTGGCCTGCACTCCAGCCCCAGTTGTTAACAGAGAGATGCAGCCCGCAAGGACTGCTTATCCCTGTGTGAAATACCTCGTCCTGACCCCGGAGGACACACTGCACCAAGTGCTGCAGCTGCTCCTGCTGCACTGCCCTCCTGCAGCTGCAGCCCCGCCACAGAAGGTGGCTTGCAACAAAAAGAAAATGGGGTTTTGTCTGCTTTCTACAAGCAGTGCCTCCTAAGACTGAGGAAGCCAGCAAAGATTTTAAACTAGTGGGTTTTCTGCTGACATCCTTGTTTTATATATTGCTCTGCTTCTCTGTCACTTCAGAGGACTGGGGAAGCCCTGCTGTAAGACACCTAAGACAACCCAAAACAAAGGAAGACGGAACATTTGAAAAAAAGTGGTCCAACACTTGTTGCAAGTGCTTTGGATCAGCAGATCATGGCCAGCTCCCCAAGTTCAAAGTGCCCCAGGCATCAGTCTCTTGATTGCAGCCACTTTTCATCTTCAGCCCAACATGGCTCTGTGGCTGATTGGCCAGCACTGTAGGGATTGCAGTTTGGGAACCACCAGTCTAAAGCATATGGATTTTGCTCACACCAGCTGAACTCAGTGCCTGCATGAAGGGTCAGAGCAGAAATACCCCTGCTGCCTGCCAGCTCCCCGTGCAAGGTGGGCACGGGCCCCGTGTTGCTGCCTTTGCTGGTGCTGAGTTGCAAAACTAGACACCGCCACACAGGGGATGCTGGTGCATGCCGAGCACATGTTGTCCCCAAGCCTACCTGCTCCCCCTGCACACAGCAGGGCCCCACTCCGTGCGGGAGACGGGTCAGCACCGCCAGCTAACGTGGAGCCTGCAGATCAAAGCTGGCCTGCAGCTGGGCAGCCGCGGCTGTGCCAAGGGGAGGGAGGCGGAAAGCAGACAGAGGCCTGGGGGCATCCACGGGACCTGTTCCATATGCTGCGCGCCGCGGTGGCAGCAGTGGTCGTGGGGCTCCTCTGCAGCACTCAGTGCACGGCCCCGAGCACACGGGGAGGCAAGCGGAGCTGCTGGCGCTTGTCCTGTGCCACTGCACGCGCTCAGGTCCCCCCAGCCAGCCTCGTGGGGCGGCCGCCTGGGGAAGTGCTGAATCCAATGCACTGGAGACTCAAACAGCTTTTCTGCAGCAAACTTGGGGCTCTGCTCGGCCCCCGACCTACAAATCCCCTGCTTATCCCACCCCGCATGGGCTCCCAGCCATGCCAGCATGTGCTGCACATGCCACGCCTCTCCCACCCTCAAAACCTGGCCCTCCTTGGCCATGGGTATCCTCTCCAGAGGTCCAGAGCAGTGTCCGGTTTCAGCAGCTGGAGGCGAGGCGGGCGCTGCCCCCC